TTCTTTTCATTTTCTTTTTGCATATTTTTTTTATGCTTTTTGGCCCGCAAGATAATAGTCAATATATTCAATGTGATCATTACACAAAGATAAATAACTAACAACCCAACATTAATACCGAAACGTGAATATGAACCAAACAGAAGATGTCGACCACCATTCATTGCATTATACATAGGTGATGCGTAGCCATAACGAAAGAATCGTGATGAAAGCTCAAGTGATATCTGGAGGGTAGCACCAGAAACCATAATAATAACGAAAATGATAAGAAGAATATTGGCAAATACACCAAAATTGATTAAAAAAAAAGATACAATGGCACACAACAGCATGGTACATAACCAATTGAACATCCAATACCGCATAAACTGACTACCCGATGTGATATGAAAAAACCAAAGGACAACAAGAGAGTAGATCAACGAAATCATTAACGGTTGAAATATATCATTCAACACTTGATACAATATCAGATCAACATAATGAACTTTGTCAACTAGTAAAAGCAATGGTGACATGTTACAATTGCCCTTCTCAATGAAAAATATTTATCAAAAATAATGGCAAAGAACACGTTCCACTTTCATAGAAAAATTTTTTTTAAGAAAAAAGTTCTCTATAAAAGTGGAATGCGTTCCAAAATGGAACGGTCAAGAATGCGTTCTCACTCTTAAGAAACGTTTTCTTTTCTTAAAAAAAGGGCTTTCACGTTCGCGGAACGCGCTCCTAGATCAGCTTTTCCTATGAAAATGCATGAGGAGCTCCAAATGATTGACAAAACTTCCAAGGAACACTTGAAAAGCTAGGCAAAAAAAAATAGAAATCCTTGTAGATTGCCTAGGGACTGGAGTTTCGTAGTCTCTAGGCAATCTACAAGAATTTCTCGTTTTTTTTGTCTAGCTTTTCAAGTGTTCCTTGAAAATTTTGTCAATCATTTGGAACTCCTCGGGGATTCTCATAGGAAAAGCTGATCTAGGTTGCATTTTTCAACGAAACAATCTGAGAGGGATTTATTAGATTTCTATACCCATACAGAAACCCTTAACAAAGATAAACAAGGACGCTGCTTAATCTACCTATAAAATCCATATACCTTCTCTAAGAAACATATCCTTATCTAAAACAAAGTCAACAGAGAAAATATTTCTCTATCTACTCAATCTGAAATCATGGTTCACTATCTATAACTAAACTTCACGGAACAAAACTGACTGCTTCTATTAAGATGGAATGAAAACTAAAGAAAAACTATCTGTATCTCAACTAGATGAAAAAAAATGATTTTTCTGATTAAGATCAAATAAAACTAACGAAGCACTAACTTTATCTCTATTGAATGCAAAAAAATGACTATTTGTATTAAGATCGAGTAAAACTATAGGTAAACTAACTCTATCTCTACTAGTTAAAATAAATGACTATTTTTATTACGATGAAATAAAAGCAAAAGAAAACTAATGGCAAAGTATACTAATTTGTCAATCATTTTATTTAGTTTTATTCAAAAACAATAGTGAAGCTTTTCACCTATATACAAGGTAATTATCAACACAAAATGATAGAAAGTGAAAAATATGTACAAAATTGTTCTTTTCTTTTCTTTTATTCTGTTTTGACTATCGATAAACATTGCAATGGAAGGGGGAGATAATATTTCGATCGCATTGCAATGTTTATCGATAGTTAAAACAGAATAAAAGAAAAGAAAAGAACAATTTTGTATATATTTTTCACTTTCTATCATTTTGTGTTGATAATTACCTTGTGTATAGGTGAAAATGATTGACGAATTAGTATACTTTACAATTAGTTTATTTTCTTATATCTCGTCGAATAATATAAATAAAGGAAAACTAACTCCAAGTGTATTAGATGAAAAAATGACTATTACTATTAAGGTCGCATAAAATTAGAAGAACACTAACTCTATGTCTATTAGGTGGACAACATGACTATTTCTATTAAGAAGAAATAAAACTAAATGAGCAATACAATACAAATTGTGGGAAAAGCTTGTTAAGTTCATCAAAGAGAAGAATTGTTGTATACTCGTTTGCCGAACGACTGTAAATTTTTCTAGAATTCTTCTTATTGTTGCATATTGCTTGTGTCTATTTTTATTGTTTTTGTCAGTGTATTGTAAATAAGACTGTCACGATATCGACAGCTAAAAGCTCAATGTTGAAAACAGATGTTGATAAAAGAACTAAGAGTTATGATGATAACTTTTTATACAAAAAATAATGAGAAAACAATTTGATATATTTGAAAACGCTGATAAATCCATTTGAAGCTAATCAATATTCTTTCTCAATATAACGGGATAATTTCATGTAGGTTATGAAACGAACGAGAAGGTGTTCTGTATTTTTAAAACTGGCTTTTTAATTCACAAGGAAGCATTCAACAATTAGGAGAACGACAGAGAACGCGTTCATCAATTCGAAGAATCCATTCTCAAGTGTTCCTTGAGAGAACGTCAAAGAAAGAATTCTCATTTTGATGGAATTCGATCCTGACTGTTCCAAAAATGAACGTTTCAGAAAGCTTTCTCTTTAGATGAAGGACGATTTTCAATCGAGAAGAAACCATCCCATAAAAACGTGGAACGGCAAAGAATGCGTTCCATCAGATGCATAACTTATTGTTGTCGCTCATGGACGCATTCACCAAACTATAGAATGTATCCTTCATGAGAAAGATAATTATCCATGTTTTTGTGAATGCGTTTACTTTCGTTTTCTTCCTTGATTATTTTTCACTAGGTATGGGATTCAAAAATTTCAATCTCTCTCATTAAACTGGTATTATTTATGGCAAACAGATACACAGTTAATTGGTTTAAATTACAAATTTTTTACAGAAAAATCAGCGCTATCATCTGAACAAAAAACTCATCGAAATTCATAAAATTCGTATAATGTTGCAATGGCTTTACTAATTTGCAATAAACTATTTTCGTCATATATTTATGAAAAATATTATTTTTTCGTAACAGCTACATGTTTTTGTTGAAATAATCATCAACAAATATGGATAATATCATTTGATTAAAATAATAAACACTGAAAAACAATCTTAACAAAAACATGTAACTTTGGCGACAAAAAATAATGCTTTTCAAAAATCTATGATAAAAAAAGTTCACTGAAGATTAGTGAAGCACCTGCAACATTGTACAACTTGTATATATTACGATGAGTTTTTGTTTAGATGATAGTGCTGATTTTTCTCTAAGAAATTTGTTTATTTACACCAATTAACTATGTACCTATTTGCCATAAATAACAACAGTTAAAAAAGTGGATTTGAATTTTGTTTTTAATCACTCTTGATCTATGAATGCTATTTTTTTTTACAGATCAACACACTCAATTTTTCGAAAGCATTTATAGTCTTGATTAAAACACAGCTTGGAAATATCTACTAAAGCTAAGATTGTCATGCTATGCAAGATAATCTATCAGCTTTTTATTACCTATTTAAAAATGATAGGATTGATTTTCTCAACTTTATATGTCTGTTTTCGAATGAAAGAACTCCTAGTAAACAAGAAGAAAACATTAATCTTACTCAAAGGTTTTACGGTGCCCATAACTGAACTAACTACAATAGTTGTCACTAAAAATAAATAAATGTAGCCATTAGTTGTAGCCAATTGACCTAAATCAAGCAAGATAAATCATATTAGATATGTATAAAATGAGACTTGTCTTTCTTCATCAGCAGTTCAGATCGTAAGATATATTTATGAATTATTATCAAGAGAATGGTCAAAATACAGGAAGTCTTAAAATTAGAGCACCCCTCCCCCATTCCTATCAAATTTTGCAAACGACAAAGATTTCTTCTACTAAAAAAGGCTTCATTCTTGATCTAATATCATATCTATGGATACATAGTAGCAGGCTATCATCTGTGATATTGATTAAATTTGATTAATTAGTATTAATGAAGAAATTCAAAAACTTCAAAATTCAGCTGTTTCATAAATAAGAGCACTCCCTCTCCTCCTAAATGTAAAAATATTGAATTAATACTAATTTTACCAATCTGAAAGCCTCTTTTTCGGTATCCATTCGAAAGAGGAGACACTCAGGTACATGCTCAAAAAAAAACAAGATGTTTGGAACCTAATTTAACTTTCCTACTATTTACGTAAGAAATTAAATGGTAGAAAAGTGGAAACGTTAAACCTCAATATTATCACTATATAGTTCGAGAACAATGAGTTTTCACCTATTTAATGTAGTAAAAACGGGATTTAAACTATACCATTAGAAAGAGCATCAAATTCTGTACAAGATAGGCTATTTTTTCGGTTGTTGTAAGTTAATTTCAAAATATTATCTCACGAACTGGGCAAAGCGACTCTTCATTCTACTGCAAAAAAGGGGAAAATTCGATCGATTTGTGAGATAATGTTGTCTGAAATTAACTTACGACAACCGAAAAAATAGCCTATCTTGTACAGAATTTGATGCTCTTTCTAATGGTATAGTTTAAATTCCGTTTTTACTACATTAAATAGGTGAAAACTCATTGTTCTCGAACTATATAGTGATAACATTGAGGTTTAACTTTTCCACTTTTCTACCATTTAATTTCTTAAATGTCAGGAAAGCTAAATTAGGTTCCGCAGACCTTGTTTTTTTTTAAGTATGTAGCTGAATGTATTCTCTTTCAACTGGATACCGAAAAAGAAGCTTTCAAATTGGTAAAATTAGTATTAATTCAATATTTTTACATGTAGGAAAAGAGAGAGTGCTATTATTTATGAAATAGCTGCACTTCGGAAGTTTTTAAATTTCTTCATTAATACTAATTGATCAAATTCAATCAATATCACCAATGATAAACTTCTGCTATGTATCTATAGATATGACATTAGATCGAGAATGAAACTTTCTTTAGTAGAAGAAATCTTTGTTGTTTGCAAAATTTGATGGAGGAGGGGGATGTTATAATTTTAGGGCACTCTGTATGTACTAGTATTATTATTTAGAGAACAAGTTTAGAATTTTGACAGCAATTTCAAGTTTTCTTTTAGTTCCAATAATATTAGACTCAAACATACCCACATAAGGAAGAGCAGGGTGAAGATTAGTATATTGCACAGCGAATGGATTGGCAAGAAGCTGTTTAAGACGTAGAGAATTCTGCAGCTGCAATGTTCGATTACTATTTGAAGAAGCTGTAGATGATAAAATGGAACTGATTGTTGTACGAAGTGCTTGACTATACTGCTTGTTGGCAGTCGCAATGGCTGCACGAATAGGTGGTAATACAAAAACGTTTTGAGTAAATGGGTTTCGTCCTTCATCATAAGTAACAAGTACAGGAGGTGTATTAACAAATGGGTAAGTCACCAATGTTGTAGAATTGATCAGAGCATATAAAGACTTATTAATAGTTGACGTGATATTTGGTCGAAGTACTACAATGGCCCACACTTGTCCATCATCGACAGCTTGTTGAGTCTCATTCACACTATTGCCATAGTCATTCGGATTCTTGTATTCCCAGTGAAGAGTCAAATTTCCAGGTGGTGTAGTTCGAAAAGCATTGAGAAAGAAGCTACCTGCTTGTTCACCATCAAAATCAACTATAGCAACATCTAGATTTTTCGTATATCGATTCGGATTATGTCCAGAACCCAAATAGAACACGCACATTATAAAGATGAATATCCAAAGTGGAACACATCCGATAATCCACTGGTATATAAATTGGACACGCAGATCAGCAATGTCTTTTCGTGATGACCACACATGAACAAAGTCGGTAGTTGTTTTCGGATTTAACGCCGAGGTGCGAGCACTACTACGAGTCGATTGTTGCTGTTGTAGCATGAATAAAAAATAATAGTAATAATAATAATAATAATAAGATTCATGCATATACAAATATACGTTGATAAACAAAATAACAATGCGACATACTTCAGTGCACTCACACCATGTGTCGATACAGAACAAAAAAAAACATGACGAATTTGGATATTAATTATTGACGACAGTAACGATTGCATTCATTTTCATTTATTATCATCATTTTCTATAGAAAAAAAGTGTCTCTAATGGTCTCCTTTACTCAAAATCGATCATCACCATCACATGTATGGTCCAGGAGTGCCGATATGGCCAAGATACGTCGAACACTTATTGTTCACACGATTCGTGTCTGTATCATTGTCTGGATCGTTATCTTTCTTATTGCACTAATTTATCTCGGTAGTGGTACAGTACGTTTATCTATTCTATTTAAATATTTGTCTCAAATTGTTTCATGAAGATAATGATTTGTTTGTTTTATTTAAATCATATGTTGCAAATTAAATATGTTAGAATTCTGTTATCTTCACTATAAAATAGATAATTGATGAATGTAAAAATGTTTTTAAAGAGATAAAAAAAACGTTTGTACAGATAACTACTTATGCATTTAGAGAATTCCGAGTCTTATTATTCGAATATGTTTTTTTTTTGTAATAAAAAAATTCTAATGATAGATTAATATGAAGACAATTTTTTCATATAAAATGTGTGATTTTCAATTAGAGGTGAGAAAGTTATTGTTAATGTTAGTGTTATTAATAACACTAACATTAACTTTTTGATTCAAAACAATCAATGAAGCAAATCTAAGCATAGTTTATATGAGCGTCAAAAGATCACTTTAGTAATACAGTATCTTTTCTTACCATTTGATATAAGAATTTGCGGTAACTATTTTGAGAAATTTCAAAATAACATATTTTGTTATTGTTATTGTTATTGTTATTGTTATTATTATTGCTAAATAACAATAACAAAATATGTTATTTTGAAATTTCTCAAAATATTCACCAGAAGTTCTTATATCAAATGGTAAAAAAAGACACTATATTACTAAAGTGATCCTTTGATGTTCGTACAAACTATGCTTAGAATTGTTTCATTGATTGTTTTGAATCAAAAAGTTAATTTTATTGTTATTAATAACAATAACTTTCTCATCCCTATTTTTGATCACATTATTGAGTAGCAGTTATGATATTCTAAACAAATAGTTTTAACAGAAAAACAATACGATTGATCAAATATGAACTCTTTTTCTTTTGATTTCTATCTTTTCATTGCTCTTGGTTTTCATTTTGAACGCAGAATCCTTATAAGTACACAGGCTTACTTGATGTGTACGTAAGCGATTTGGATAAAGACACTGCAGGCAGTTACTTTCTCAATGCCTTTCATCAAACTCCACCTGGTAACTTAACGCTTAACTGGATTTTCATACAGTCCGTCGACTCTCCATCAGTTTTTGTCGACGCGATTGAAAGTGGAAAAGCTTGGGCCGCTGTTTATATGAATTCAGGTATTACTGCTAGTATTAATCAGATCATCCAATCAATTTTGGATGGGTATACAATTGGCTCGACTTCTTACATTCCTTCATCGGCAGTAAACATTGTTTTTGACGAAGGTCGTAATGCAAACAGCATCGATGGATTCGTTTTACCTCCTATTCAAAGAGCTATTGCTGTTGCTAGCACTAATTATTCTTCTTACATACAGTCTCGTATTGGCTCTTACTCAAATGTGACATTAGACAGCGTCATAACAGCTGTTTCAATGTCTCAAATTATCTGGTCGCCTATCGGCTTCACTTATGTGAATCTTCATCCTGCCTATCCCTACGCCAGATTGCTCACCACTACTCTTGGTTATCTCTTTCTCTGGCTTACCATGAGTGCTCTTGTTACAGTAAATATACGCATTACAGCACCACTCATTACTAAAATCAAAATCATCGATATGGCAATAATACGTATTACAACTATCTTTCTTAATAGTTTCATCATATCACTCATTTACAGTTTATGTGTTCTTTGGTTCGGTAACTTCACCAGCGCTGGTCCGTTTATTAGATTTTGGCTTTTCAACTGGCTTGTTACCCTCACATTCGCATCTATAATAGCTCTTTTCACTCTCAATTTAGGAGTAATGGCTAATATCGTACTTATACTCTTTATTATCCTCAATCTCTCAGCATCAGGAGCGAGTTTGGTACTTCAGCTTCAATATAGATTTTATTATATTGGCTACGGCTTACCTCTCTTTCATTGTTTGAGTGGAGGTCGACATCTGCTGTTTGACTCGTACACTAATCTCGGTGCTGATGTGGGTATCTTGATCGCATACTACATTGTATGTATTGTATTGACAATCATCACTGCTGTGCTTCGAATACGTAAACAACAACAAATGGTCACTAATCAGAAGCTCAAGAAGTAATGGAAGTAAAACAAGACGATTTCAACGACAGTGAAGACTGTCAACAAAAAATAAATATGTTAATGTTAATAATTGACATTTCTATCGAATTCATAAAGACAAATTTTCAAGTATTTTTTTTTTTGCTTTTTCAGAATATTTATTTTATCTTCAATTTTATATTCGATGTTCATTCAATAAAATAGAATATGATTTAAAGATATCTATTTGCTTGTTTGCAATGAAAAGAATACAGCAACAGTTAAACTACGTAATTAGAACTGTAAAAAAAATAACAGTTCATTTAATATATTAACTAAATGCCTAGTTCTATCGAGAAAAATTTCATTACTACAGCTCCTTAATCACATGCAATACGCTGCTCATATAGCTCTTGAAATTTCTAGTACTAACAACTTCTATTTTATCCTGGTGCGTTCCATATACGTACATTAATATAAAGAACAGAGAAAGAACTTTTTAAAACTTTTGCTTGGCTTTTTAAGATAAAGCGTTATAATATCTTTACAATAATTGATAAGTTTGATACTTTCTTATTTGAAATCATTATTGAGCATAATCAAAATATTTTTCAATTCGTATGAGGTTACTGCTGATGATAGAAAAACAAAATGAGTAATTATGTTAGAATTCAATATTGTTCATGTAGTATGTTTTGTTCAGAAACAATATACAGTTATGTAAGCTTTCCTAAAGTACACTGATAGGGTCAATTCTAGGACTAGAAGAGATAATTTTAATGATGATTATGTTAAGATAGTACAAAATAAATATTATAAAAGAAAAGATTTTATGATCAATTTTTGTTTTATTGTTGTGATTTAGTATTGCACGCAAAAGACATTCTTTTCTTCAATCAGATAAATATGTTCAAACTATAAAAACATTTCATCAGAAGTCAAAAAATCATTATTATCTCTGAGTTCCTTTTTGGTATTTTTTTAATAGATGACAGCCAAAGAATTATTTTGCTGATTAAGAAATAATTTTATTGAATAGGAGCTGCTTGGTAATTATCTTTTATAATTGATAATAACGTAGATAACATTTTGAATGTTGCATAATTATACTTACTAAGTAGATTTAAATAATTCGCAAGCAGAGTTTTTTTATGAAAATTTGTGATTAACGAGAAAAAATATATATTTTTTTGAATTCATTCTCCTAAAAAGCATATTTCTGTTGATATTTATTTCAATGGAATCAATTGAAATTCACAAATGGAAAGTAATGAAATATTTTCCAGAAAGTAAGCAATACAATATACATTTAATAATTTTTATTTCTAATACTTATTTTTTCTGATGAAAATTAAAGCTGTGAATTTCGTACTTTTTCTTACGAGGGAAGGCCACCAACTGTTCCATCGCTTTTGCGTTGAAACTATTTGCGTTATGTAGTTCCCAAAGAGTTATGAATACCCTGAAAATATTTTGGACTGATAGCTTATTGTAACGAAAATAGTCCATTTGTAAGGTATGGGTTTTATTGAGTGCCTGGGGTCCCCTTCAGGAACAATAAAAAAATTGATTTTTGAATTTCTACTTGAAACTTTACATAGAAAGACGCCCCAAGGAGAACAACTTTTTATGAACGTTTCAGACCTTTCTAGTGTTTTTATCACTAGACACTGCTATTGTGAAATTTGTATTTTATATCCTTCAAATAAAGTAGCAGATTTAGTGAAACAAACAATCAAAAGGCTTAAAACTTTCAGAAAACACTATTCTTATTGAGAAGTATTTCTATGTAAAGTTTCAAGTCGAAATTCGAAAATCAATTTTTTTAACGTTCCTGAGGGGGACCACGGCAATCATTAAAAACATACCTTACAAATGGACTATTTTCGTTACAATAGGCTATCAACCCAAAATATTTTCAGCGTATTCATAACTCTTTGGGAACTACATAATACAAATAGTTTCAACGCAAAAGCCGATGGAACAGTTGGTGGCCTTCCCTCGTTAGACACTTTTACGGTTTAGAGTAATTTAATTGTAAAAAATATTTTCGTGTATTCAGTTTCAAAGAAAAATATACATATGTATTTCTTCGAAGAAAAAGTGTTTAAAACTATGCAGAAACGAGTGCTTTCATATAATTAATGTATCCAGTGAAATTGCCTTTTAATTGAACAGATCTTATATATTAGAGGAAGTGGTCACATATAAGAGCATATGGATGGAGATAGAACGTCAGTGTTAGGTGAAGAGGTCACGATACCAGGGAAGTGACCATAGGGTAAGTGAAGCTTTACGGTTATTAACCGTTACAGGAGAGCGCCAAGTACGTGTGCAATTTTCCATTTAACTTTTAGAACAGAGATGAGCGTGATTCAGTTCGCAGGCTATAAAAGTGGATGGTATCGTACTACAGCCAGTCCAAAAAGTATCCGGACA